TAATATATATCTAACCTGCTTGCTTTTGCGAAATTTTTTCTTTTTTTGGCTCAAACCAATTGTTGCCCTTTCAGCAGAACAAGCACTCTAGTCAGTTCACAAATAAACCAAAGCAAAAAATGTTGTGTGGTACTTGTATGTTGCAAACAAAAAAGAGGCCCTTGAAATTCTTTTATTTTTTCCTTAGTACACGAGCTTTGCCAGGCCTGAGAGCTAATGCTCTAAGAAACAAGCCTGCTTAAGGCAGATACTTGGCATTGAAATAAGGAACATCAACTATAAAACATTTCTCACAGTCATCCGACTATATCCGACAATTTCATGGACAGTAAAAGGAACATTAGCAGACATACAAAAGGCCTTGAAAGAAGAAGCATTTCTTACATTCACCCAACTATATCCTTTTAGAAGTAAAAGGAACATTAGCAGACATACAAAAGGCTGTGCTTGGCATTGAAATAAGAAGCATTTTTTAAGTAAAATTTTTTTGGCACTGATGTGTTTCTTTTTTTTGAACTTTTTTTGTTACACACAATGATCCTCAAGTGGATAGTATTTCTCTATGAAAAGAATGTTATATGACAAGCAAGAATTCAGATTGAGGTTATCTTGTACTTACAGAGTGTCTATTACTTTGCTTGTGGTGTTAATACTTCTAAAAGCTCCACATTTAGTTGAAAGGTGGCTCCAGGCTTCGAAAGAGATATAGAACTGCCGTTAGTGACCAAACATTACTGTTTAATCATACATAAAATAACATCTGATTTGGTTATAGTTAACAGCTTGAAAATGGTGTAAATAAATTTGAATGGAACAATGTCCAACCGTGAAAAGAAAATTGTGACTTACTGGAATTTCATTTAATCCTTTTTTCCCATACCCTGCTTCTGGCGGCACAATAACAGTTCTCTGAATATAGAGATTGAACACAAGAATTGGACTAGGAAAAACAACAATGTAGACCTTTTTGCAATAAAGCACTTCATTCTTTGGACTTGTTCAAATAAAATTGATGGCAACAAAGACTTACCTTCCCGCCTACTTTCATCCCTTCAGTTACAGAGTACATAGCTGGTGGGGGTTTGGGTGCAGCTTGGGCAGAGAAAAGACCATTTGCGTTGTCAACAAAGTCACGTTTCCGTTCTTTGCCCGGAGGTGCTCCAACCTTGAACTCGTATGGCTATTTAAGTAGATAGAATATGAGTTAGTCATTCATATATTACAAATGTGACTCAAAATCTAAATGAAGAAGGCAGAAAATTATTCCTTAAAATGGTAAATACATAAACCCCAATAGCAAGAACTTCAACAGTAGCTTATTGTCGTAATCAAGTAGTAGACAAGGAGTCAGCATACCATAGACAAAATAGACTAAGATTCATCCACACTAACTAGAGAGGTGGCGGCATGGGTTGAAACTCAGAAGTCATGACAGAAAATTTGGCAGTTATGGTACAAAAGCAATGCCATTTAAATAAAACTAAATATCCAAATCAAGAAAAAGTTTTCCAGTAATAAAAACTGAGATCTTACACGCTGGAGAATCACTAATAACACACATCACCTAAGTATGGTAGCAATAGCATAAACAAGTCATGGGATCAAGAGGATGGTTTATAAGTTTCATCTGAGAAGTACGTATTTAAAAGTAAACCTAATTTTCCGTTAGTCCAGTTTTGGGGTACAATTTGGAGTGATCATAAAGATTTAAGTATCAACTTTATAAAGTCGCCCAGGACAAAGAGAACTTCATTGGGGGAACAGCGGAATTTTTAGCTCATTCACTTTGTATTTTCTCCAAGCAATGACTCAACCCTACATACTTACATGTCCACATGGGTCAAGCCTTAAAGAATGAATTAGAGCAGCAGAACATTAGGAAGAAACTGGCAAAAATAAAAAAAAATAAAAAAAATTATGCAATCGAGCTGAAAGAGCACAAACTTAATGAAAGAATACCTCTGCAATGATGCGATTTCCAGCTAAAAGTTTTGATTCTCGACTTGATACTGCATCAATGTTACGATATATGCAGTCAAAATGAACCTAAAACGAAATGATAAGTGAAAAAGTGTAATTTTAAATCTATTGACACACAAAGGAACATGCTCTAAAGTTTTATAAATGAACCTTCACTGTTGATCCTTTCTCTGCTGTCGGACCCTTCCCCTCAATAAGATCATAGTACTTAAGGCCCTCAGCTGGTTCAGAATGAAACAGAGATACATTACAAAATTATGATTAGCAAAACCACAATCATGACATCTACTAGTTTCTTATGGTAATGAATATTTATGGTAGTAGTTGTAACCAGAAAAAAGAAAATCAACAACAGAGATACATGGTTAAGTTGAAATGAACTGTTGGACATTCTTGTGAGTGAACCATAGCAGCCTTCCAATAACAAAAGTACCAATATGGCAATAAAGCCGCTAATCAAGTATGGTGCAACTGTTTTAAAGAACAGACATATGCAGGAAAAAAAAACTTTACAAAAGGACTAGAAATGTAGTGCTCAATTGCTCATCTTATTAGAAAAGAAGCAAAAGAAGAAAAAAATAATGGTTTGACTCATAAGCCATAGAGTTTCTTTTTAAAAATAAAATCAATGGGATTTAGGGCACACATCTTTAACACATACAAGAAGTCGCTTCCATCTAGAGTAGGCACCTCAAGCATTCAAAAGAGTGCAATATTGTGTGAGGCACTGTAGGTCTCAACAATTTAGTTCTAGAAAAATCATGAAATATAACCAACCTTCTTGACAAAATCCCTACTAGAAGGATGCAAGTGAAAGTTTGGCAATAGGTATCAGGCATAGATTTTACACATAACTTTAACAAGAAGTTATAACGCCTCTTGACTAGTCTTGAGGTTGCTAAGGATGAGGGATACTGAAAGCACAATAGTTTCACATTTATATCACATTGGTATCTACTACAGTATTTAGTATTGTCACAGTCAAAAGCCAAGTTTGCCTGTTTCCTTGGCTGGAATCTACACTTTAAACACACTATCAGTCAAGCCTTCGAGTAAGTATCACAAAATTGGCAATGGGGGTCCTCTATTACTTGTGATTAAATCTAAAATTTCAGAATCAATGGCGAAATCAAATGCCGATTAAGTGAATAACAGCCCACATTGTAATCCCAATAACTACTACAATTCAATAACTAAATTAACAGCTTAAAGGGGTATTTCTTAAATCTTAAGAATCTAATAATCTATCAAACTATAAATCTATAATCAGAAATAACAAAATAAATAAATCAAATATTTCAGTTTGGTAGTAAGAAACAACCATCTGCAACTACCAAAACTTAAAATAGGTACCAAAGACATATATTTTTCTTTTCTGATTTAAATTGAATGAATGAAAACTTACAACTAGTCTTGTAGTCTTCAAGAGGGATAACTTTCCTGTTTCTTCTCTCTCTAGCTTGTGAAGGCTGAGAGAGTGAAATGAAGTTGAGGGGCAAAACAGAAATCAATATAGCAGACCTTCTTGAAATGGGCAATGGGAAAACTACTTGGTTTTGATGTTGCATTCGTTTTGGTGGGGGTTTTGAACAGAGTAAGATATCAACAATCCATTTCTCAACGCTATGTACAGAAGCAGCCATGACTGGGTTTGCAATTTTGCATACTCATATGACCCATCATCACTTCTCTCTATCCATTTCTGTTCGCTGTAATTACATAAATACCCCTAAAAGCAAAACTGGATAAACCATTCGGTCCATTCAGAAAATTGGGCTTTAAAACAATCGTTGGCCCACCCAAATTCCTCTACTTGACTACTTGAGACCTCACCTTCTAGCCTCTGGGCAAGAATTGAAATGCATATAAGAACTATGGAAATGGAAAAGCTGTATTAGGTGAGATTGTAATATAGAATCACCGGCAGTGAAGACAGACAAACATGTTTTACACTCCTACCCGACGCTAAATGGAACATGTTATTCACTCCCACCCGACGCTAAATGGACCTTTACAAGTTTGCATAGACACATAGTGATGGTTATCTAGCCTTCGGCTCTTGGTTAGTATACAGTCTGTATACAATAGAACCAGGGAGGAGTTTTAGCACTATTCTGAAGCAAACATCTGGTAAACATTCAGAACAATAATTTGAAATAAAGATGGTTTATACAA